GGCTGGAGCAGCACGCAGCTGCGCAGGGCACCAGGAAATTTGGGGCAGCTGCGTACTTTGCGTATGGGTAAGGATAGCCCTATTCTCAAGGTCCCTTCCAGCCCTGCATTTGTATGATTCTATGGTCTGACATTTCATTGTAAGGCATGACATTGCATGACTAAATCATGTCATCATCACATGCTGAAATCATATTAGCAGCAGTTCTCAACCAGGGATACAGGGCCCCCTGGGAGGCCACGAACAGATTTCAGGGGGTCCACCAAAATAAACCAGAGAGCAGGGCCAGTTTTAGATTCGCTAGGGCCCAGGGCAGAAAGTCGAAGCCTGAGCAACTTAGCTTTGTGGGGCCCCCTATGGTGTGGGACCCTGGGCAGTTGCCCTCCTTGGCTACTCCCTGATGCCAGGCCTGGCTTTTAATCTACTGGATATGCAGAAAAACACTTGTTGTGGGTTGTGCCACAAGTGCACCATGGAATTTTTATAGCATGTTGGGGGCGGGGGAACTCAGAAATAAAAAGGTTGAGAACCCCTGTATTAGGATATGAAGATGTAGCATTACCATTCCATGGCTGATAAGAGAGAGGGAGTATTTCAACCCTATTCTCTCATATTCCCTTGTGATAGAATCCTCACTGACATGCAGGTCAGTTTGCATAGTAATACTTGTGTTGTCTAATAAAGTGCCACCTTACCGTACTAACCCCAAGTTGAATATCACTGCTGTAAAGGATAATGGCCACATTTATGCTCATGTTTTCTTCTCCACTTTTAATTTTAATATAAAGACAGATTTCCCCCATATCCTTCCCATTATCATTTAATTTGCCCCATATTTTTATACTGACCGTTTGATATCTTGCCCCTTCCCCTCAAAGCGTGTCTCAAATCTTGGGGAAAATAAACTTGCTTGTAGTGGTTTAGCACTGGAAGGACTAACAATACAGTTTTACTACCCATTGCAAAAATAGAAACTTTCTAGTTTACACACTGCTTGCTATGTAGCATTGTTAATACTCAAATGGAGTTGATAATTTGAATCAACTTGTTAAAATATACCAATAAAATTATTTATATTTTTATTATATATGGTCAAGTGCGGAAGTCTTGCTTTGTGAAATGTATCTTATCAATGTACCAACTACTGGGTTGCATATTTCACTTTAATTTTATAATTTATGTTATTACAGGTGAGATGCTATTTTGGACAAGACAAGAAAGAGAATTTGTAAATTGGACTGACAAATCTGTTCTTCCAGTATTGACTTCTGGGTTAGTCTTAACTAAGAAAATGATAGGAGACTGTGACTGTACCCCTCTCTAGTTGGCACTGGTGGGAAAAAATATGCAAATGATACAGCTTAAATTAATCTATAGTTGCAATGCAAAGTCATTATTTTGGTCATTGAAATCTAATTATGAGGCCTTTTAATATTAAATAAAGATGACTGAGCAAACTATTCTGTCAAAATCATTGCTGTTAGAGATGTAGGCCCTGCTCCTGCAAAGACTTACACACATGCTTCACTTTTGCCTCAAATGGCACTATTTATGTGGAGAAAGTTAAGCATGTGAAAGCACTTTGCAGGATCAGGACTTCAGATACAGGTGTTTGATATCAACCAAATTAAAACAAAATGCAGATAATTTGTTTTAGGAGTGTGACAAATGAAGGGGGGTGTAGCTCTCTTTTATGGACACCCAGCCAGCTATAAAATCCCTCTTAGAAGCTGTTCTCTAATTGCTCTACCTGTAAAGAGTTAAAAAGTCTCACTGCTATGCATAGGTAAAAGGAAGTGAGTGGGCACCTGGCCAAAAGAGCCAGTGGGAAGGCTAGTACTTTTTAAAATTGAAACAAGACTCCCTTTTTGCCTGTCTGTTGTTCTCGGGGAGGGGCAGATAGGGAGTTGTTATGCTGTGAGAAAGCTTGGGCCAGATATGAAAAATCATCCGTATCATACCTAGAAACTACTCATCTAAAACACCAGATATATAAGTAGATCAGGAAATGTCTAGGAAGATGTGATTAGGTTTATCCCTTTTATTTCTTTATGGCTAGTGGATTTCTCTGTACTAACCCCAGGTGCTTTTGTTTTGCTTGTAATCTTTAAACTGGACCTCAAGAGAGCTATTCTTGATGCTTAATCCTTGTATATACAGATTACATTGCTGTTTGGATCCCATTCCTTCATATGCAAAGCACGATACCTCTCACATGACCAAACCACAGAGGTTTTATTGCTTTTTCCATGCTTATCACAGAAGGAGGGGCATCTCATTATGTCATGTAGCTTTCTTTCCTCTCCCTTCCTTCTGCAAGAGGCCTCATCCTATATGCCTTATGCACCTGTAACTCATAAATAGAAGGTGGAATGGACATTACTTACACTCTGAAAGAAAAATCCATGATTCCAGAAAGACTTTTGGCATTACGTGGACTTTTATTGAGAAAGCGGCAATGAAAACATTGATAAAATGCACTAGGTTAAAATATACATCCGTAATAAATTAACAACAAATGCAAAGTAAAGAAAGTCGAAATAAATATTCCAAAGGCCATTCATTTATCTGTTCTGCCCAGCCATGACCCGGGCAATCCTCTTCCAGTTACTGTAGGCAAACGCTTCCAGAGTTCTGTCTTCCCTATTACTCTAAAAGCCCTGTGAAACTCCAAAGTAAATTTCACACTCTTATAACACACATATATCCCTGACAAAAACCACAGCCAAATGAGTTCTGAAACCATGAATCTCCATCAAGCAGTGCTTGCATAATATACCATGTCTTGTGTGTGTCTATGTATGTATATGTACAGTAGATGTATATAATATGCACTGATGCCCTCTACTGGATTGAATATCAAATTGTTCAAGGGTTATCTTGTAATAGCATATGGCCAAACTTATGTATATATTATTAATAATAATACCCTGCCATAAGTGTATTTGTTGCTTTACAATCAAATGAAAGACAGGACATCTGCCCTGAAGAGTTTGAAATTAGGTCATTAGTTGGGGAAACTGAAGGGGAGGAAAAAGAAAGAAAAAACAACAACAAACCCAACAAACATGCACACAAGGATCAAAAGAGATCGATGGAAAATTGCCATCTAACACACATTGTTATCTTTTTACTCCCTCCTTAAAATCTACCATTTTGATTACTACAAATCACCACCATCTGACCAGCTGTGACTACTACCTTATACAGTCACAACTGTCTCTCCCTTTCCCTTCCCCTTCTCTACCCATTTGTCTGTGTATTCACCTGTTGCACTAAATCCTGGATTGTGAACTCTCTGGAGCAGAGATGGCCTTTGTGTTATTTGTACAGTGTCTAGCACGATGGGGCCCTAATCCCGGTTTGAAGCACCTGTGCACTACCACAATTTAAATAATAATCTCTAATTAGTGTATGGCATTTAGGACTGGTCTATATAAAAAATTGGACCAGATTAACTGAACATGTGATGTTAAACCAATGTAGGTTGCACGTAAACTGCTAAAAACTAGGTTTAAACCATTGTTAGAGTGTCCATGCACAAAGCTACATTGATTTAACTAAAATGGTTTACCACTACATCTTTAATTATACCAGTGCAAGTAGACAAACCTCTAAATACCACAGTGATATATGCTTTGAATGACCTAGAGGAGACAGATTGAAGCAGATATGAGAAAATACCTGTAATGGAGATTGTGCTGTAGCTCAAATGAGTGAGAACTATGTTTCTGGAATGGAAGGTCTGGGGTGAATGCTACTAAACTACACGTAAGAATAGATGACCTAGGAGTCCTTTAGGAGTCACAGAACAACTTGCATGAGAGTGTATTTGCAGTATTGCCAACCTTTGCACTATTTGTACTTGTCTTAAAGCCCCAACTCCTGGAGTCATGCAATTAAACAAAAGGAGGAAAAAAGCAAATTTCTAGCTCTCCTTGTTGTGGAGAAAAACCTTGGGACCCACATGCACACTAAAAGCTTAAAAACTAGAAAACGAATCAACGGAGCCAAAAGGTATTTTTTAATAATCTCTGGATTTTTGGAGGCCTGGCTCCTGATTTTGGACCACTTGGGATTGGCGATAACCCTGGAAAGGGTGTGTGTGGGTGGAAGCTAACATTACAGGTGGTGTATTGCTTAGGACAAGAAGAAGCTAGGGTTACCATATCTAATAAATAAAAAAAGAGGACCCTCCATGGGCCCTGGCCCCACCCATTCCCGCATCCCCAGCCCCACCCCAACTCTGCCCCTTCCCCGCCCTAACTCCGCCCCCTTCTCCCTCCCACTCCCAGCCATGCGGAAAGGGCTGCCCGAGTGCTATCGGCTTCATGTTTGCAGGGCAGCCCCCAGACCCTGCGCCCCTGGCCGGCGCTTCCCCAGCGCAGCTGGAGCCCGGGAGGGGAAGCGCCCAGCTGGGGACGCAGGGTCTGGAGGCTGCCCGGCAAACCGTGAAGCCGGTAGTGCTTGGGCTTCGGGCAGCCCCCTTGCCTCCGGACCCTGCGCCCCCAGCCGGGCACTTCCCCTCCCGGACTCCGAAGCCGGGGCAGCCCGGCTCTTAAACAGAGCCGAAGAGTCAGGGGAGGAGCAGAGCCGCCATTTTCCCGGACATGTTCGGCTTTTTGGCAATTCCCCCCAGACGGGGGTTTGAGTGCCGAAAAGCCGGACATGTCCGGGAAAAAGAGGACGTATGGTAAACCTAGAAGAAGCACACCTGTAAGCTGACACGAGGCACAGCCCCCTGATGCTGGTGAGCTGCAGTGTTCAGGGTCTCAAAGCCTGGGCAAAATATGTGGGGGAAGGGCGAGGAGCGCGACCAAGGTGGTAATGGCGCCAGCCAGTCAGAGGTGAGGGCCGCGTTACCACCCTGAGCAGCAGAGCGCCAGGGGAAAGACTACATCCCCCACAATGCACCGGCGGCCCATGATGGCGTCTCCGTGGCGGGCGGGGGAGGGCTGTTATACGCCACCCGGCGGCGGCGGGGGAGGGAGAAGCGGAAGTGGGTTCTCCCCCCAGGGAGGCCGGCTGGGTCCGGTTCCGAGTGTCACCTACTTGGTGGGGCTGGTGGAGGGGGGAGGAAGATGGCGTCGGAGTTGGAGACGGAGGTTCAAGCCATTGACAGGAGCTTCCTGGAATGTTCTGCCGAGGAGGTTGCCGTGGTGAGGCTCGTCCGCCCGCGGGGACCGGGGCCGGGGGGCCGTTAGGGGCTCGGCCCCGCGGGCGGGCGGGGTGGGGGTGTGGGCACGGGCCGGCAGGGGGTCCGTAGTGCCAGGCCCGGGGCGGGCGGCACTGGCAGGGGGAGGCGGTCTGTAGGGCTGCCGGAGGGGAGGGAGGGCTGAGGGGGAAGGGGCGTAAATGCGCTTGGTGGCGAGGGGCGGTTGTGGCGGGGCTCCGTGACTTAGACTCCCTCTGCCCCCTGCGTGTGGACTTGCTGCTGTGACAAGTCCGGCCAGGTGTGACGGGACCTGGAGGAGAGGCGCAAAAGCAGCTCTCCCGTCTGCTTGGTTTGTGCGTTTGACAGCAATGTAGTGTAAGTCCGCCCCGCTGTTTCCTCTCTAAAACTGGTCACTTGCCCCGTCTCCTATTGTAACTGACTGTATTTCAGATGGCTGGCTTCTCCTCCCTTCGCAGTTTTAAAGTTTTGTTCTTCAGATTTCTTGGGAGAAAGTTTTGGAAACACTGTTTCCTTCTCCCCCTCCTTAGCTTTTAGGCCCCAAGCTTGGAAGGAGCTTCATGTGTACAGACCCGTGAACAGCGTCCTGTTGATTTCATTGGGATTCTGTGGGAGAGCAGTGGTCTGCCCCCGTAAACCTGTTTAGCGTTGCCAGTGTAGACTAGCCCTAACATTCTTACAGTCCAATATTGATTTTTATGTCACATTTTTCCTGTTACTCATTTTGTCAGTCAACTTTTTTGGACTGTTCAGGTAACACTCATTTGATCCTGCTCTGGGATACATTACTTTCTCCTTGTAGTCCATACTACTTTGCTTCTGATTTCTGTTTAGACAAGCTAGGACTTGAGTCGAATCTTAAAAGCCCCAATAAGGTCACTTGGGCTCTGTACAGACATGTGGGAATGTCGGGGGTGGGAGGAGATGACACAAGGCAGCTTGTGTCATTGGAGCTTAAAATTTCCACGTTCAGTTACTTTGTATAAAATTTAGTATTTCCATATGCAACTTAGTTATTTAGCTTTTTCTTGCATGGGCCGATACTACAGCTTGTACATGTAATTGCAATATTTGTCAGACAAATTAAGCAATCAATTTAATACGGAAACCCTCGCTAAGATTTTATAGGCCACAGAGTTTTATCTAGAAAACTTAAATTCTGTACCCTTTGCTAAAATGTAATCTACTCCAGGGCAAAATTAAAAATAAATTATTATTTATTAAAACATGTAATCATTTTAGAAAATATCACTGACTTTCAAGGATAAATTAGCAGTTTATGTGAGACCCCGAGAGAATCTTTCTACCAGTATAAGAATAACCACAATTATTGGGAAGGATAGGCTGCTCACCTGGGAGATGTGATTTTTTTTTTTTTTCTCTCTGACTAGGTACTTGTCTGAGCTTGTAGTAAAACTTAATCACTCCGGTTTTTCCAGATAGAAGGTAGTAATATACTCTAGAGTTGAGATGAAGCAAGTTTAAGATACTAGGCTAAGGAAAGAATTAAAACAATAGAACTTATGTGTACTGCAGAATATGGCCTTGGAAATGACCCACTTTTGGGAGAAACACAGCAGGAGATGCAAGGTCAATTCTAATGTAATTAGATTTAGTTCCTAATACAGTAGTAGAAGATATTCAGCACAAGTGAGGAAAACTAGATTAGTTTAAATATATGTATATATATTTAAAGGCTTACAAGAACAGAGAGGTCAAATTCTTGGAGAGAAAAGAAGATAGGGGGAAAAAAGATGTAGTTTCTTTGATCTTTTATCGGAATGGCCGGTTTAACTATAGAGCAAAATAACTCTATGAGATTTTTGGTTGCTGGATTTTTTTTTTTTTGGTAGTCTTTCACCCAGGGCCAGTTTGGAAAAATTCCAGTTCTCTGAACACAAAAGGTAACTTAGTACTAGAAGATTGAGTAGTTTCATTACCAGGGCTTTGAGAAATCAGTACTGGGGGCAAGGAGGGTAGAGTAAATTTCTACCATCAGTTCTAAGAATTGTATCAGAAATAGTCTAGCAATAAAATTAGCTGCTTCTAAACTGTTTAAATATGACATTTTCTGCTATGGTTTTATTATAGGTGTTCAGCATTTTCCAAAGAGGCACAGTGTGAGTGTCATCAGTGGAAAAAGTGCTATATAAATTTAAAATAGCAAACAGTACAAATAAGGGTAAATTCTAAGCTCTTTCATGAAGATTTTTCAGAATAGTGCTTGTCTACTCTAATATAGGTCCTTAAGAGAAGACAATACATTATTCCAGTGAAATCAAGCTATAGCAGCTGGTTTCTAAAACCAATTATTTCTGTATAAGTAATTCTTGCTTTTCATCCATATTTGGGTTAATTCTGAAATGAATGAACTAGTTTTCTCATAATCTGAAGTTACCAAGAAGTATTTGGTAGTAGTAATTGCATGTTGGTAAAGTTTATACACAGTACAGTACTGAATCAGTGCGTACTTGTAGTACGTGTATATGTCCATTGTTGATTATATTCTGTACTAATGATTATCAATAGTACATCAGTTAAAAATGGCAAACGGTAAAGTCTTCAGTTACATGGTTGAAATAAAACAAATGTAATGAGAGGGACACATTTTTACAATATACATAATGCATCTCACCTTTTGTACCTTGTGTAATTGAGGGGAAAATGTTTTGACTCTAGGGGATACAGCAGATACATCCTTTGAAGGTCACTGTTCAACTTGAAACATTTAAAAATTGAAATAATTCTAATTTCTGACAGATTACCCTTTAAACAGTATGTCCTGAGTTTGTTTTTAAAAAGGATTCTTTAAACAAAAATTGTGTAAGGAATTTTCTTCTTTATTGATGTATTAAGGTCCTTTCAGAAAGGAAAGAATAGATATACACTATGATGGAGATTTTTGAGAGTTAGGCGCTAATTCTCCTTTGTGCCTTTGAAAATCTCCCTGTGTGTGCTGTCAAATTCACAAAATATTCAAATTGAAAAAAAGAAACATTTTTGCTAATGTTTATTTGTAGTAATCTACGTTACTTGTAACTGTAGTAGTTACAAAATTTTCACAGAGAAATTTGACTTTAAAGTTTGCAGTGTCCCTTTAGCTTTTAGGTTGAAAAGAAAGGTGCTATAACAGTTATGACTGGGTGGTGTTGATTTTATTTGTGAGTAATTTTGTTTAATGTTTTCTTTTTAATTAAAGAAATGGCTACAAGCAACTGATCTTCCTAAAGAAGTATACCTGCATCTAGCCTACTATGTACCCAAAATTTACTGCAGGGGTCCTAACCCTGCCCCACAAAGAGAAGACATGGTAGCACAACATGTACTGCTGGGACCAATGGAATGGTATCTATGTGGTGAAGATCCTGCATTTGGATTTCCAAAACTTGAGCAAGCAAACAAACCTTCCCATCTTTGTGGTCGGGTTTTTAAAGTGGGAGAACCTACATACTCTTGCAGGTAGCTTAATTCCACAATTCTCCTAAATGATTAATGCTCAACTTTTTTTGGTAGAAACATTTTTGTCCTAATGAAAATATTAACTGTCTATACATATTTTTAGTATACTTGGAACATTGTGGGTGTTGTCTGGTTTGTTATTGGTAACATACTAAAGACTTGATCAGCAGGAGAAAAATTAATTACAGTATCAGTATAATTAAACAGATTTAATTTTTGAAAATGTCAGTGTTGGTTATTAAAAAGAAAAAAATACTCTTAGATAAAGGGGAAGGTGGCTAAACTGTCAAATCAAGTCCAAGGCTTAAATGCAAAAATTGAAATTAATTTATCATTAATTAATTCAAATGTTTAACATGCATCTACAGATGTTCCTCCTGTGTTCTGAATATCTTTCAATGAAAAGTACAATTAATGGTGATTAGATTGGTAGGCAAAAAAAACCTAACTTGCTCATTAAGCCCGCTCCCCTATTTATTTTATTTATTTATTTATATATGGAGATATACCTATCTCATAGAATTGGAAGGGACCCTGAAAGGTCATTGAGTCCAGCCCCCTGCCTTAAGTAGCAGGACCAATTTTGCCCCAGATCCCTAAGTGGCCCCCTCAAGGATTGAATTTATAAACCTGGGTTTAGCAGGCCAATGGTCAAACCACTGAGTTATCCCTCCCCTGTTGTCTCTTAAAAATCTCATTTCTGTTGTGAAGCCTACAAGAAGTGAATAGGAGGATGTTACCAATAAATATTAAAAACCATATTATCAAGATCTGCATATGACTTAAAGTAGCTATGATTTTATTGTCACCTTGTCTGTCTTGTTCCTTTCCCATTTTTTGCTATGTTAACCTTTGTACATTTTCAGCACAAGAACCACATAAGAATGGTCATACTGGGTCAGACCAGTGGTCCATCTAGCCCGGTATCATGTCATGCAACAGTGGCCAATGCCAGATGCTTTAAAAGGGAATGAACAGAACGGCAATCATCAAATCATCCTAACCCCTTTCGCCCAGCCCCAGCACCTGGCAGTCAGAGGCTGAAGGACACCCAGAGCATGGGGTTGCGTACCTGATCATCTTGCCCAATAGATTATTTAGGTTAATCTATACAGAAGCCCCTGGAACCTCATAAAATGGGGTCCCTAATCCACAAACTATTGGAACTCATTTACAAAACTTTTCTTAAACATTACATGAATATATTGTCTCATACTATAGAATTAGAATTTATAATCCCTATTCTATGACGGGAGATCTTTGAGCTATAATGTACCTTAATTAAAACTATCTTTAGATAGGTTTTTTTCCTCAAAAAGCATTTTATTTAATTTTCCTATATCACCTGGGATATAGGAAACCCATATATAGGGGGCACCACCGTGCCCACCACCTCCTCAGTTTTGTGAATCTAGACCAAAATATCATGTGCTCTTATTGAAAAACGTTTACAATTGCCAAAAAAAGTTTTGTTTTTTTTTTAAATCATTGATTTTTATCCACCCTGCCTGAAACAAAACATGTTTTGGCAATTGTAAACGTTTTTCAATAAGAGCACATGATATTTTGGTCTAGATTCACAAAACTGAGGAGGTGGTGGGCACGGTGGTGCCCCCATATATGGGTTTCCTATATCCCAGGTGATTGCCCTAATAACCAGGGTATTGGTTATTATGGGATGGGTCTCTGAGTCTCCCCTGTTGAAGCTTTTTCATTTTGTATAAATTATTCATTGGAGCAGGGACTGGAACCTGGGTGAGGCAGCTTTCCTTTCCCCCTCACCCCCTGGTTAGTGTCATTGTCACTCATTGGATTGATGAATATTTAATTTTTTATACAAAGTGGAACAGCTTCAACAGGAGATGTTGAGACACAGGGTTCTCACCTGGGATATGAGAAATTTGGGTTCAAGTCCCAGTGGGGAGTTAAAGCTGGATCTCCCACATTCTGGGTAAGCAACCTAACCACTGGACTGTTGGGTGTAAGGGTGGTAGTGGCAGCAGCACCACCTCAGCCACCTTGTTTTTGTGAGTAGCTCCTAAATACCCTTTTGAATCTAGCCTGAAAAAAATCAAATCTAATTCCTAATCAGTAGGCTATAGAGTCATTCTTATTCTTTGTGATCCAGAAGAATAATACCTTAGCTAAACATGAAACTTCCTTTACTTGAGCTGATGAAAACTGTGCTGTGGTAATTATAGTAACTTCTTCCAAACCTGTGTTTTCAAGACCAGCATCACAAGATATTAAGAAAACAATAGCCAGTGTTGTAGGAAAGCATGGAAAAATGCAGTTCCTTGATATAATCATTCAGAGAATGATAGGTTTACTGTTTAAATTCACTTGGTATCTTCATCTCAGTAGAAAATGTGAAGAACAGTTCAGGTACACCAATATGGTTGATTTTTGCAGTTTTCAGTATGGGAAAGTGATTTGTGCATATCAGGATTGAGTCTCTACTTTTCTGCTAGACCTATAGTACATATATTGTTACTATGTATCCTTTTGTACTTAATAGCTTATACTTTGTAGTTGGTGGCAAATGGGGGAGAAGAATTTTTTTCTTCAACCCTACAGGATACAAATTTGCTATTGTTTGTAATCCATGAAATACTCTAAAAGTATGAGAACCTGAAAAATATGTTCTTGTTTTTTAAGAAGCTTGTAGACCTGCAGCAACTAATGTGTTAGGCTTCGATACTTACAGCTTGCTGGGATTATTCACAGGCTTTTTTTTGTTTCACTAATTAAATTGGCACTTAAAATAAACTAATGTAAACAAAAAATACTATTGGTAATATTTATGCTGTGGATCCATGATTATTCCTCTACTGATACTGATGAATTGGGCCAAATGGAATTAAGAATACTAGTAGGTGCTTCATAGCTTTTTGTTTATTTTTTTTTTGTTTTGAACAAAATAAGGGATTCATGTGACTTGTTTATATTCTTTCTTGATGGACATCTCAGGAAATCCTTAGTTTCTCTTCAGATATTTTTTTAGATGCTCTTTATTTTTCCATTGTGAAATCTGACTCCCTGAATCTATATCTGTGGCTGTTAGTCAGTTGCCTGTAGTGTCAATATATCATGTGATTGTTTTTTCAAATTTTTGGCTATATGAACAAGGCAATTGCACATTAGTCTTTTACCCGATTTCTAGAGGTGGTACATCCAAGTGTTACAGTTAGTACCTGTAAAAAGTGTTTGCCTTCTCTAAGTGGTCCTTGATCTTCTGGTGGTTGTGAAAATCTTGTTCTTGGAACTCATTAGAAGACTTGTAGGGCTAAACTTAGAAGCAAAGAGGTGGTTCCTAATCTTTTTTGCATGTAACTTTTCATACAAGGTGTGATGAAAATCTGTGTGCATTGATTACTTAGGACCATGTCTAGCACTTGCATCCTATACCCTGAGAGAACTTGCTTGGTTATGTAGTTTTCATGATTTTCTATACCTTAAAAACAGGTTTGAATCTGGTAACATGGCTGGGTTACCAGGTAATGCACTTGTTTCATCTACTGAAGGTAATATGTTCATTACCCAAATGCTTTTCCAGGCCTACTGCCCAGGCTGTTCTTCATAGCCACTCCTGCTCTAGGAATAAAATTTCCTCTCATTGTCTCATCAAAAACTATCATATTCCTGAATAACAAACAGTTTAGCAAGAAGGCTCACATTCATGTATTTTGAAAATAAACTGTTATTAGATGCATAATTAAAAGTTAAAGTAATATTTTTTGCTTAATTTTTTCCTCTCTGTTTCCAGAGACTGTGCGGTTGATCCAACTTGTGTGTTATGTATGGAGTGCTTTTTGGGAAGTATTCATAGAGAGCATCGATACAGGGTTAGTAATCTTATTGGAGTATATGAATTGGGTATAATATATACCTCTACCCCGATATAATGCGACCCGATATAACATGAATTCGGATATAACGCGGTAAAGCAGCGCTCCAAGGGGGTGGGGCTGCGCACTCCAGCGGATCAAAGCAAGTTCAATATAATGCGGTTTCACCTATAATGCAGTAAGATTTTTTTGGCTCCTGAGAACAGCGTTATATCGGGGTAGAGGTGTATTTCTTATGAATGGGTATATTCAGAGTTCCAGTATGTAATTTATATTTAAGAATGTTTATGTATTTCAAAATAAAGTGTGTATACGAATATACACGCACAGTATGGTTGGAATTAAAAATGTGCAGTGTAACCTTACCAGAACTGGGAGTTTTAACCTCAGTTTAAAAGCTTAGCTTTAACAAGACTTAGTTAATATTTGAAACCACTGAGCAAATTATTGTAGTAGTGTTCCTACACTTTAATCTTAAATACCATCACAATTCTAAATTAAACATAAATTGGAGTTAGTTTTATTATGGTAAACTTGTGGTTTTCAATCTTTTTCATTTATGGACCCCCAAAAAATTTCAAATGGCGGTGCGGACCCCTTTGGAAATTCAACTTGTGATCTGCAGACCCCTACCATAGAAATCTTAGACTGAAAACTGACTGAACAGAATTCAACTATAAGTGTTGCATATGCTTAGCATGGCATTGGGTGCAGTGTGAGAAAGGGCACTAAACTGTGGGCTTCTATGGTAATGGCACATTCAGGTTTTGACCTGGAGCTGGGGTATTCACATATGCAGACACCTTAGACCTAGTGTACAGCTCCTCAGGGGTCTGCAGACCACAGGTTGAAAATCACTGTTAGACATAGTTTCACTTAGTTTGGTGTGTGTGTGTGTGTGTGTGTGTATATATATATATATATATATAG